TTTTGAGTATACAAAGCATTGTGCAACCATTACCATAATAAATTTTAGAACATTTTCATCATACTCAAAGGAGACCCAGTGCACATTAGCAGTTTCCATTGCTCCTTTAATCCACCCCTCCGTCACTCCAGCCCACAAAAACAATTAACCTAGTTCGTCTCTACAGATCTGCCTATTCTGACACTTCATATAAATGGAATTATAAAACGTGTTTTTTTGTGACTGGTTTTGCTCACTTAGCATGTTTTTTAGATATCATCTATGTTGTGGAATTTACCAATACCTCAATTATTTTTATTTTACCGCCCAGTACTATTCTATTGTATAAATATACCACACTGTATCTGTCATTTGGCAGACACTTGCATTGTTTCTACTCTTTGGCTATTAGGAATAATGCTACTGTGAATATCTGCGGACAAGTCTTTGTATGGACATATATTCTCATTTCTGCTGATGATATACCTAGTAGTGGAATTGCAGGGTCACATGGTAACTCTACATTTAATCTTTTGAGGAACTGACAAACCAAAGAAGCTGTACCACTTCATAATCCTACCAGTAGTGGATAAAGTTCCAATTTCTTCATATCATCCCCCAAACTTGTTATTATCTATCTTTTTTGTTTCAGCCATCCTAACAAGTATGAAATGGTATCTCATGTGGTTTTTTATTTCTCCTTGATGACTAATGACATCATGTTTACTGGCTATTTGTCTTTGCGGAAGTGTCTATTCAGATACTTTATTTTTAAATGGAATTATTTGGTATTTTATCATTGACTCAAAGAGTTTTTTTTAATATTCTAGATGTAAATTCTTTGCAAGATATATGACTTGTGAATATTTTCTCCCATTCTATAAGGTTTTTGTAACTTTCCTTTTTTTCCCCTCTTTTACAATTCTCAGGGTGGAATCCAGGGCCTCCAGCATACTAGACAAGTCCTTTAACACTGAACCACATTTTCTGTCCTACAAAGTACAAGTTTTTACTTTTGATGAAAACGGATATGATAGCTTTGCTGATCCATTCTGAGGGCTCATGTAACACATACATTTTAAACTGGTACCAATTTTCTCTATTATGTCATTCAAGTAACTGAAATTTTATCAACTGAATAAAGCTTGAGGGCAATCAGATCATTCTAGAGGTTGGTATTTTAAAAATGTCTAACTATGACTATCATCTATATAAGGCACACCACTCAGAGAGATCTCACATTGTCCATCATTGTCTCTAAGTAGTCCCAGATAGATACCTATGTAGCATGCTTGCTCCTGAAGATGTTTATCACATCCATCACTGTTGGTGCATTCATGTACATCAGTGATAAACTTAAGCTTTTCTCCCTTGAAATAAAAATTTTTAAGGCAGTATCATTTTATGTTGAGATTTTTTAAAAATCCATGAAAAAATGAGATACATAAATTTGATTTTTTTATTCCATTCCACTCTGTCCTAGCTACTTGTGGATCTTGTGGACAGAGCTATCAGTTTGCTCAGATTTCAGTCTCTGGCACATCATTTTGAGTTATGTCAGCCACCAGAAACCAAAAGTAACAAGCAAGGAAGAAAACTAGAAGTGTAATTTAGCACTATACAAATAAACATGCTCTGGGCTGGTTGTGGTAAAGGCCAAGAGAGCTGGAATCTGGTAGCTGTCAAGTAGAGGACGCTTTTGAGCCGTAGGAAGCTGAGCAAATAGTCTAGGAGGTGAAAAGCTCTGAGACCCATGAAATCTGAGTTTCTACTGGGAAAACTATAATTGTCTATAAGTGACAGGGAGTGGTGACAGGGTTCTTTTCAAAACCTTAAAAGAATACTTTTAAGAAAAAGTACTAAGTGTAAGAACCATGTGAAATAGGTGTTAATTTTACTAGTATCATTCACTTCTTTATTTTAAACTATGACGTCGGTTGGGGATAGAAATGAAAAGAGAAGATGATACAAATGCTTTGACATGTAGTTTAGGAATCCAAGGAGAATAGGGATTACATGCACATGCATGTACAAATATACATGCAGATTCAGATAGAAAAGGCTGATGATTTGACAGTTTTAAACAATGAGATGCTTTCATACTAGTTGGTGAATGGACCCCTTCACAATCTAGCAGGAAGGAGTTCACACCAGCAGTGGGCCCCTGAAACTTCCAACGCCCGCACTAAAGTCTCCACTGTAAGTGGTTAGCAGCATATATCATATTGATTGTTAAATGTCTTACTGTAGAAGTACTTGGCATGGAGTTACCCATTTATTATGAGTTGTTAGATGAAGAATTGCCTGTATTAGGGTCACCTAAGGCATTTGTCAAAAATGTATGTGCTTGGGCCCCATATCTCGGAACCACTGCATCTGTGGAGGGAGGGCCAGCATGTGTAGATATCTTCCAGGTATTTTAGAGAATTGTATCAAATATATTCAATATTTTGTGTCATACAGCAGATATGTCTATCCTGTCTTCCATCTAGCAGTCAAGTTCTTTGAAAAGAGGGAGCAAAGTTCTAAAACTCTTGATATTTAGAGCTATGCCCATCCTGGTTCTTGCTGACCACTAATAAAGAGGAGGGATCATTGATTCAGAAGTGTATGCTCTCCGGAGAAGTCTGCAGCAGGATTCCTGCTGACTGTGCTGACAGTTGGGGAGAGGACACTAACTGGTTGTGGGGTCCCAAAGCAATGGGAACCTGGAGAGAAAAAGCTACAAAGAATGGCTTTCACCCCAGATAGCTCACTTGAGATGTTAGTAAGAATTGCCTCCTCAGTATTCTATAGCCATGATGAGGAGGAGGCCAAGGAGAGAAAACAAAGAGACCGAGAAAAAGCAGCTGCTTTTGCTGCACCACTAAGAGAAACAGATCCCAGGTCTGATTCCCGGGGCTCCAAGAAGAACTCGACAACTGCATTCATCTGCTACCACTGTTAAAAGCCAGGCCACCTCAAGAGGTACTGCCCTAAGAGGCCCCATGGGCCATGCCCTGCATGCAAAGGAGACCACTGGAGATCGGTCTGCCCTCTGAGGTGGAGGCCCCAGAGCTCAGACCCATGCTACCAGTTAGTCCAACAGGAATGAGAGGGCTTGGGGCATGGTCTGCCTTCTCCCTCTGGCCAGACCGTCATCTCCATCGAGGAGCCCTGGGTAATCATGACTATGGAGGAACAAGAAAACAGCCTGTTGCTAGTCACAGGTGCAAGTCTCTCGGCCTTCTTTTCAATCCTGGCCTTCCTTCCAGCCATCATACCTCAGTGAAAGGAGTCACTGGTGAGGAGGTAATATGCTATTTTTGACAACCCTTAGGCTGTAACTCCTTAATAGGTCCCTCTTGCATATCTCTGTCTTCCTGAGAAACCACTCTGAAGATACCACCACATATTACAGCAGCCATTGATATTTTCCTACTAATCTATCCATAACTGTGTAAAGTTTGTAATGTTCCTATCCTATTTCATAAATGGATGTATGTTTATTATTATGTGTTTCCTACAACAACCATTGAGAATAGTTAATGATTTTTCAATAGGTCACTCATGTATAGCTCTATTTTCTTTAGAAGCCACTTTGAAGATACCAAAGTATAGTACAACAACTCTTGATAATCTCCTACCTCTTTTGTCTGTAACTCACTATTATTTGTCTATTTGTTTTCCTGAGAAACTATTTTGTAGACAATAATATGTAAAATGATAACCATTGATAATTTCCTACCAAAAAAAAAAAAAAAAAAGAAGTGTATGCTAAGATGTTAGGTTTGATGGTGATGGTGGTGGGGTGGCCAATCTTCATGAATGCTTACTGTGGACCAGGTACTTTGATAAATGCCTTGGAGGCATCTAACTGAATTCACACAATAACCCTAATAAGTAGTGTTATTATCTCCACTGTATGACCAAGAAAGCTGAGAGTCAGAGAGACAGAGTGAGAATTCCCAAAATCTCATTACCTCTAGCCTCTGTTTTCAGATTTCAAAGCCTATATTCTTTCTTATTTACTAAGCCATACTGGCTCTTGGCTTAGGAAACAGTTCTACAGATAAATCAGATTCTTTGGGGTTATTCTCTTCAATTTGCTTTTATTTTAAACTAACCTTTGTATTTTATATGTAGAGGGGAGGTAGGCATGAAATTTGAAGAGATTATAAAGGTATACTCTGACCTGCAGGAACCAAGGTGAAGGAAATGGAATACAGAAAGGATAAAGTATATATACATATTCTCCAATAGTTAGAGACAATTGGAAGCCTTTTAGTTAAATATGAATAAGCTAGGGGTGGGGATTTAGCTCAGGGGCACAGTGCCTGCCTGGCAAGTACAAGGTCATGAGTTCGATTCCCGGTACCAGAAAAAAAAAATATGAATAAGCTAAAATGAAAATAATAAAGCACTGTCACAGGAAGAAAAGTTAAAACACCACATCTGTCACAGGACCTTCAAAATCAAGTTGAGGAGAGAAAAAGATTTTGAGGTTATAAGTAGACAGTAAGTAGTAAGAAAAGGGACTGAAGATGAAACTCCGTTGTTGAGAAATAATGAGGGTAATTGCGATTTTATGGACATATTATCAAGGGGCCAGAGTATGCCTGGACTTGACAATGGGCAAGACAAGCAGTCTTGATGTAGAGAAATTAGGGAAGCTCGTAAGAGGCGGTGGATTGAAAGGATAGCTGGGTTTTACATGCACTGAGGTTTGTTTGAAGCATCCTGCTGGGAAGCTGAGATTAATGCGAACATAGAATATTAAATTGTGTTTCCAGTTGAAGCATTCTTATGCACTGGGCTTAATGAAGAATGGCTAATTAACATCCTTTGAAGGTAAGGAAAATAAAAGAATATACCTCAGAATCGTGTTTGCCAGGCCAAAATAAGCCCTAAATCAAATCTGGATTAATGGAATCAGAACGCTTATTTAGACTCAATACATTCACCCTTGTGGCTTTTAAAAACATTTTCTAATCATTCTTGATTCATTTACAACACATGTAGAAAACTAGATTCATTCTTACTGGGATCTGGGCAAAACCCCCACTTTTCATCTCTTTCATATCGGCTTGTAGTTGCGCACCACAGCAAGTTATCTTCTCGACCTTCCCGGATACATTCATGATGCCACTGATGGTTGTACTGGAAGGGAAACACACACGGCATCCCATGGCCATTCCCCTTGATTGTATACAAATCTAGGAGAAAAAATGTACAAAGTCAAATTTACAACGTCAGCTTCATCTTTGGAAGTTGTCATCTGGCTAGTACACCTGTACTGACGGAAAACCATCCTGGGGCAGGCATTTGCTAAACCTCCGTGAGCCTTCAGGTCCTCCTCTAGTGTCTGTAGAAGGACTAGGCCAAGTTCTGGGCTCAGAAGAAGTACTGGTATGTGGATTACTTATGTATTTATCTAGATGCTTATTTACTGTGATGTGCTGCTAGAGTAGCATGATATTTGTGAGTGGATGAAAAGGAAAATTTAATGGAGATTTTTCTGTAAAATGTCTGCCAGCCTCCAAAGACATCAGCCATCAACATCTAAAGCCTAATGCTTTTGCAGGCATTTATTAATTTATTCATTCAATAAATATTCACCGAGTATTTAAAATCACCTGCACTATGACAATAGTAGTGAACAAACCAACAAATACTCTTTTTTTTTTTGGTGTGTGTGTGTATGGTTCAGTGGGGAGAGGTAAAGATAAACCAAATGTACAAATAGCTGTATAATTTCAGGTGGTAGTAAGTGCCATGAAATAAATAAAAGAGGGCAAGAAAAACTGTGTGTGTGTATACGTGTGTGCGTGAAGGGGTAGAAGGACACCACTTTAGGCGAGGTGGCCTCTCTGAACAAGAACTAGGTGAAGAAAGGTGCTTAGGAAAAGCGGAAGGAACGGCAGGTATAAAAGACTGGAGAAAAGAATGTGTGTGAGCTGAACGACGAAGAGCAAGGAAGCTGTAGCGCAGTAGTGGCAAACCAATGCACATGTGCCACGTTGGGCAGTTTGTATCCCTGCAAGCCCTAAAAGGTTCGCCATCACTGCTCTAGGGGAAGGGGAATGAAGGCAGGACCACAGGTCTGCTCATGCGGGATTCTCTCTGTCATGTTATTAGAGACTTTGACTTTTACTCCGAAGGTGGTGGGAAGCCATTGGCAGGATTCAAATGAGACAGTGATAAGATTAGATTTCCATTATTAAAGAATCAATCAAGTGCAGTATGGCAAACAGCCTAAAAGGAGAAAGGGTGAAACGGGCTAGCTAGGCAGCTTCTGCAGTGGACTAAAAGAGAGATGATCACACAGGGGTTGCTTTGTCAGAGTATTGTTATAATCCATCAGCCTTAGCCTTAAGGAGGAATCAAAACCTTTTCCATGATTTAACTGGGGCTTTCTATGGAGAGATCAAACCACCCTCAATTAAGTCAGTAGCTCCTGAACAAAAGGGTCAGCTGTGGAGGTTCCCCTCTTTTCTGCAGTGGTAGGGGCTGAAGTGAGCTCACAACATATTGCCAGCCTGAGCAGTCAGGCCTGCTTAGGAACTAGAGGTTTTTAGGACAGGATATGTTCTTCTGTTTCAATCCATTGCCTTCTACCAGAAGTAAACACATTCTCCCCTGTGTGCATCGTTAGTGTGTGTATATGGCTAAAAGGTTAACATGAAGCAAAAGATCAAATTCTTCCTTAGAACTGCAGGGTTTTCAGATGAGATCAGGCATGTCAGGGTGGTATGGCTGTAGAGAACAGTAGGGTTTCAGAGTGCTGCTTTACAGCCCTGGCTTTATTAGAGTGAGCCTTGAAAGTATCTTGCTCTTGGCCCTGACTCTTCATTCATTCCTTGTAGTTACAGGAAAATGTCCCGTCTTGGGTTTTAAAAGTTCCTTGCTCTGCCTCCAAGGACTGGGATAGAGATTTTAGGAGGATATGGTTACATTAAAGCATACGTCTACAGAGTACCGTGAGGGGAGGGACTACATCTATCTTGCTGGTCTTTGTAACCCAAGTGCCTAGCACTGTGCCTGATGAACTGTCAGTGCTGGATAAATGTGTGTTCAGATGATGAATGGATGAGCTACACAACAAACTCTCAGAGACATGGCTGAGGGGTCAGAATTTAACTATGTGACTTTCTTTTCTCTTTTTTTTCTGCTTAAAAATGACAAAAATAATAACAGAATTGTGGAAAATGAAATTCCCCCATAAATCATCCTTCCCACAAACCATGCTTGGCACACACCAAATAAACCTTGGCAGGAGTGTACCATTTATCTTCCAGTGCCTTGCAGCGTGACCATCATGTGGATGCCAGCCAGCAGTGAGTAGGCTTTGAGTGTCCTCCCCCACTTCCACACATAGGGCTGAGCTGCTACAGTAAGAGGAATGGTGGCAGGGACATTACTATATTTGTTTTGGTGAAATCCTTTACTTTAAAGATCTTTTCCCTTTTTCTCCCCCTCTTATTCTTTCTATTGATTCCCCAACTTAGGTTTTTATTTCAGTACCTTCAAATTCTGACAAGTTCTGCCTCCACAGCAGAACTTAGCATGTCCATTCTAAGATCTCAGTAACTCATTTACCATAAGCAAGGAAGCCATTCAAATGTACTTACCATAAATCTCTTGGCATTACCGGCTCTATGGACTTGTTCCACACAATACTTTACAAATCACAGAATACTTCCTAAATACTGTCTATCATTCCACATACTTTGATGTAAGTAACTTTTACCTTTGTGAAGGTGTTCACAAATGTCTCCACCACCTGACATATAGGAAACCCACTTATGAAGATTCTTCCTCGAGGCCATCACGGTGTTGTCACGGTGCACCTGGACCTTGTACTGGAGTGGGCCCACGATCATCTTCTTGCTACAATGCCACCTCAATGAAACGTCAGTGGAATCGCACTCATATAGGCCTAATGGCTGCTCTGAATTTGATAAATTCAGGCCCAGGCAACTGCTGGCTCCCAGGTTAAAGAGATGCTGATATGAAACCCATTTCCACAGCATGTTCTTGTTTGGCTCTTCGCAGTCCTCCAGGGTCAGTACAGATTTACCCACTTGAATGCATTTCTCAAGGCTCTCACTTTGGATAATGAATATTCCTTTATCTGTAGCAGAAAAATAAAAGATGTGGTGTGCAATTTCCATATATAAGTAGGTAGTGCCACGAGGATCCCAAAGTGCACATCTAAGAGCTGGAGCTGATAGGCAGGCTCCACCTGAAGGGCTTTCTTTAGATAAACCAAGAGTTTCCTGAGAGGCATAGAAGGACTTACTGGAGCTAATGGGACACCTCTAAGACCATGTAAGAATAGGGCTACCTGTCAGTCACTCAATGGTACTACTGTGAGAAAATGCTCAGCACAACTGGATAGAGAGCAGTAATACTCAGGGCAAGAGGGGAGTGGCGTTGGGGATCAGGGGATTGTGGTGGTACTTTGGTTTTCCTCAGACAAATGCCTGAATGTTAGGAATATGGTAGCAGAATTGAGAGTCACTGACATAAAAATCTCTACCATCAAGTTCCTGTGGAAAACCAAGACGTTATAGAAGTGCTGCTTTGTGTCCTACTATGAGAGTCAATGCTGGTGAGAAGATAATGCTTCTCCTCAGTTGTTTTCTGTGCTGGATCCATTAAGAGTAGAGATAGCAATATTTTGCTTTGGTATAAACTTTTTCAATAGCAACCTTGTTGGGTCGGTCAAGCAGCAGCAGGTGGATGTCCTGGACACTTGCTAAGCCCACACCTAGATACAAGAGGTGCTAGAGCACCTGGATAGCAGTAGAAACCAGAGGTTACTTGGGCATGTGAAGAAAACTGATATTTTGTGAAATACCCCTGAGCTCTCCCCGTAGAGCCAGAAGAAGATTTGGGTGAGTTTCCTATAGAAATGTGGTGAGACCCAGCCAGGGAATACATGATAGCTACGTGCCTGCCACCAGACTTTACCTTGAGCTGCTGGCCTGAAAGTCACTAATCACTGCACAATAATTCTTTTCTCACAGTCTTTTTGAAGATGGCAATCACATCTTGTTTCTTTGATCTAAGCACCAAGTGTACTGAACGTTAAAGTTCAGTAAGTGCTTGCTATTGATGGAACGAACCAGTTGCCACTCCTTAGCTCCTGGGGTTGCCGAGCTTACTCAGCTCGGAATGTCTGCTCAGGCCCAGCAGCCCCTCTGTTCTCCCCATGGCTAGCCTCCCATGCTACGTTTTACTTCCTAGCTATTGTTCACAGCTCTGAAGGGTAGCAGCAGGTTCCCCTAAAATGACTGGGGTTTACAGCAGGTCATGTCACACGGCAGGAGCAGAGCAGGGACAAGGCAGTGCCTTCAAGAGATCTGGGATAGTGCACAATAAGCCTCTTCCTGTATGAGTTTGAGGAACAGTGATTCATTTTGGCAAAATTCTTGTGGTTTCTCCAAAATTAATTGGGACCAGGAAAGCTGATTTACAGTCACCAAAATCATTTAAAACAGTTTTTAAAAATTGTCAATATATTAATGTAAACCACACCTCATTTAATAATTGATAATTTTTTTTTTTTTAGCCATGTGTTTGGGAAGTTAAATTAGTTGTCAGAAAATTTCTTTGATCACCACACATCAGAGCAAAAGAGAAGGGAGTGGCAGTAAGACAGCCTGAGAATGAATGGCTTCAGGGAGATTTCATGTAGATCAGAAAACTTGTTTTCCTAATGAAGGCTATGTTTCTACAGTTTTTAGTAATAGTCACTCAAAATCAAAATCACCTCTCACCAATGAGATATGGACTCTGATAATTAACCTTCCCTCCATCCCTCCCTTCTATCTTTGTATGCCTTGGTAGAATGTTAACCTTAATTTCTATTGTAACCTACCAGTCACTTTCCAGCTGGCCCAGAGTGCCATTAAATTTTCATTAAAGGATAATTAATGTACTATAATGGTTCTGTAGCTCAGTTTCTACA